ATTATTTCATGCTTTAAACTTGCTAATTCTAAATTTAAACCATTAACTGTTCTATCAAGAAGAAATAAAATATATTACTCCAAATTTTTCTAAGCGTAATTCGTTAGTAGCGTTTGGTTCTAGCTACAAACTTATATTCAGGATGTCAATATTTGATGTTTTTTAAAATAAAATATTATTTCACGTATATAAAATTGGTTAAAATATTAAAAATACTGGGTCAAATTTTTTTATTTTTTTATTGCTAACGTTAACCTTAACCGGGGTGGCCAAAATTACATAAATTCTAGTTCAATCTAATCCTTAATCGTCTAAACCCTCAACCAAATGGCGCAGTATGAATGTTGGTGTATGGGGTGTTTTCACGCACTTTGTCTTTTCCATTATCTTCCTAACTTCTAACTTGTATTCTTCCAGTTGTTGAAGGTGAGATATCGATAAATCATAAAATTAGCAATGTACAATACAGGAGAACCCGAGTAAGTATATTGCGGTAATTTATTTATTTTCAACAAAGGATTACTTTTCACCTTTTTATTGTTTTTAGGATGAACGAACCTGTTATTAAAGACGCACTTAAGACGATATTTCCGGAGGCCTCTAAAGAAAAAATCCAAATTTATGAGACCCAAATCGTTCAGGAAGATGATCCAGTACTGATAATTACTCCGAATGCAAACTGGATAAACCAGCACGGAATACAAGCTTATAATTCAGTGATGGATAGATTTGCTACAGAGGGATTAAGGAACAATATCTGTAGGGATAAAAACTCAAGATGTTTGTTCCATTTTAGAGAAGGTCATGAACTTATGACCGTGCGTGATGCAATTTACCAAAGCTCCGCTCATGCCTTTTACATCCCAACCAACCTCCAAGCTTTTATTCCCGGTTGCCAAATGTTTCCTATTGGAGAGGCGTGGATTTTGACAAAGACGTCGTTGCAAAATAGTGATTTTTATCAAGACGAGCGGTTTTTTATTGATTCGTAGTTGAGATTGGGGAATGCTGTAATATTTAATTCTAAATTTAAAAGATCGTAGTTGAAATTGGGGAATGCTATAATATTATTTCATGCTTAAAACTTGCTAATTCTAAATTTAAACCATTAACTGTTCTATCAAGAAGAAATAAAATATATTACTCCAAAATTTTTCTAAGCGTAATTCGTTAGTAGCGTTTGGTTCTAGCTACAAACTTATATTCAGGATGTCAATATTTGATGTTTTTTAAAATAAAATATTATTTCACGTATATATAAAATTGGTTAAAATATTAAAAATACTGGGTCACAAATTTTTTATTTTTTTATTGCTAACGTTAACCTTAACCTCTTAATGGATTGGCTAACAAGTGAAATAATTTTTATTATTGCAAATAAAATTTTGCAAAAACATACAGCTCTATAAGCTCAAATGCAAGTAGAATTGCTTGTCTTTAAAAACTTATATCTCATCAACCACTATTATTAGAAATATGATTTTATATTTATTTTGATCCTCAAACCTTAGAGCAAATCCATTAAAAATTTGAAGTGTAATTATTAAATATCAATTTTGCATAATTTACTAAAAAAAAATTTAAGAATAGAAATTTTTTTTTAGCAAACTATCTACTATAAAATGATATTAGATTCTGATTCTTCTTAATACAATGATTTTAACAAGCTTAAATTCATCAAAATCAACATATCTGATCAGAAGATAAAAATAATAAAACGATTTTGTATATCAATTTTTTGCTGATTTATTAATCCAATTTTAATGAATTTTAACTTTTTGGAATTGATATACTGAAAAGAACCAGAATTCAGTATTATTTATTTATTAACCAGTTTGCTGAAATTGAAATTAGATCAGTAAATTATGTAAAATTTTTATTATAATTATACTTCAAATTTTTAATGAATTTGCTTTAAAATTTAGGATTAAAATAAATATAAAATCAAATTTCTAGCATTCATGATTAATAAGTTATAAGCTTTAAAATTAATTGAATTTATATATAATAAATTTAAAAAATAGACAATTATATTTTTGAAAATTAAAATGCAAAACTACTATTCACTAGTCGAAATCATTTCATTCAGCACTAATACCATTCGGTTAACATTCAGCCGATTCGGTCATATGATTTAGATATTAATCAGTTTTTTATAATAATTTTATTGTATTATTAAAAGTTCTCTAATAAAAATAAAAGATATAAATATATGTAATTTACGCTCATAAATCTTTCTTTTTCACAATATATTATAATTAAAATTATAAACATAAATCTTTCCATTTAAAATCCTCATCTCCTACATCTTTTATTTTTCGATTTTTTTCTTGACATTTTATCTGTTATTTCAATTACTTTTAATTTATTTTTCTTTTTTAATCGCCTTTAAATTCATTTTTTTATTTTTTATCTTTTGATTTTTATCTTTTTTTTTGATATTTTTATTTCACCTCTTTCGTTTTTTCTTTTTTTATCATTCATTTTTTTACCTATTTTATTCAATCGCTTTTATTTCGTTTTTTCATTTTTTTTCGATATTTTTATTTTATCTCTTTCATTTTTTCCTTTTTTTTATCGTTCATTTTTTTTCAATCGCATTTTATTTCATTTTTTATTTTTATTTTTATTTTTTTTTCACTTTTTTTTACTCATAGCTTTGATATGATCTGCTGCTCCCACTGTTTTTCATTTCGAATAGATTGTTAACGCTATATGAGAATTAATTTATCTTTGACACGATTATTATGACGATTTTGAGTTTGTTCAAAATAATCATCATGAAAGGATATAGCAAAACATATTCAATGATTTATTAAATAATGTGGGTTTCTGCCTCTCTCGCTTAATGTAGAAGAAAATGGTATTCGTTGAAATACAGGTATGAAAATTTAAAGAGATTGGAAGCTAGGGAGAATCTCCATGACCAACCTATAATAATTTCAACTCTGTATGATCGGATATTTCATGCAGAGTTAGGTGACGAATTTTGGTTTAGAACCGATAATTGTTTATTGAATAATAGTAATAAGAAATATATTTTTTACTTTTTAAAACTTCAATTTTTTAATTTTTTTATTATTTTGACATAAATCGTCATTAGTATAAAAGACAGAATGTAGATCACCTTCGATACCAGTACTGATATAGATCACGTTCTCGCTAAAATTGTAGATCCTATTTTCATGATCATTCTCAGGATCATAAATCCCATTCTTACCGTCATCATTTACAAGATCATAGATCATGTTCTTATCGTCATTCAAGGGATCGTAGATCCCATTTTCGAAGATAAAGAAGAAGGTCATATTCTTCACAAAGAAGGAGAAGTTTTTTGCTAAGAAGGCATTAATTTTTATTTTTTATTTTTTTTTTTTAATAATTATTTTTTATTTTTTTATTTTTTTAATAATTTTAATTTTAATTTTTAATTTTTAATTTAATTTTTTATTTTTTTATTTTATTTTAATTTTTATTATTATTTTATTTTTAATTTAAATTTAATTTTTATTTTTTATTATTACTTTTTTTTTTAATATTTTTATTTTAATTTTTTATTATATTTTTTTTTATATATATTATAATAATTTTTTTTAAAAAAAAAATTGTAATAACGTTGCAATGCCTAAATAGTTACACAAATTAATATTATTTTACCTTTTTTTAATTTATCACATAATCATAATTAAAAAATTCTAATCTAATTAAGTATTGATTATCTTGATTATGTAATTTTAAATTACAAAACAGATTTGTATTTTTTTCAATCATTTTCATTTTAGTATATTTTTTTGTGAAATTTGTGAACATTGACAATGAAATCAAATATTAAAATACCTAATATTTTATGAATAAGTATATCAGATTGTAGCGTTATATTATCTGAATTTTGTCAATTTCATAAATTATCAAACCTTAAATACGTTTTACGTTTTAATGACAGAAAGTCTTATTGGTTTAACTGTATAATTAAAGAACACATCATCTTTGCTTCAAAATATATTTTTATTAATATGTTGTTGCTATTGATATATCACATTCAGAATTTTCAATTTCATCTATTTCATCTTCAATTTGATCTGGTAAATTCTTAATTCTATTTTTAATTTTTAAAAGATTACTTATCATTTTATTTACATAATTTTTTACTATTAAAGATTTTGTTAAAAATTCTTTTATAATATCTCCATTTGAACTCTTAATGAAATATTATATTTAATGATTTCAAAAGAATGATTAAAAGAATTTTTATAACTATTATTTCCAAAAACTATTATATCATTCCTTATTACTTGAATTCCTATAAAAGAAATTTGATGAAGATCATCGATTATTGATCTCCTTTCATCATTGCTTAAATTCTTACCTTTTATTCATTCTTCTTTTCTTACATCAAATCCATTCTTATATTCACGATTTATTTTTTTCCAATTATAATTTTCTTACCAGATGGAGAAAATAATCGTGAAATTTCACCAATAACAATTTCTATACCATCAGATTCATTTATAATGACTAATAATCTGGAATATCTTCTAAATAAACAGATTGCATATTTGCCTTGGTGGTGATTTTTAATGAATTTGATGATTTATCTTTAAACAATTAAAATTAATTATTATATATTATTATTATATAATATTTTTATAATAAATTAATATTTTAAAATAATATA